GGCCTGGCCTCAAACTCAGAGATCCTCCTGCCTCTGCCTCCCTAGTCTGGGATTAAAGGCGTGCACCACCATGCCCAGCTCCCTAAGTTTCATGCAGACTACTGTAGGGTTAAAGCACCCAGATTCCCATAGACAACTCAGCCCAAACCTGCCACTATGGTCATCCCCACAGGGAGATGAGACTGCTTTGGAACTTCCTTGTATCTAAGGCAACTCCTTCCCTTCTTCTGGAACTCCTTACCTCCATATGCGTGTACATGTGCACACTCATGTACATCACACATGTGTGCAGACTAAGGTCTGTGTGTCACACCCGGGCTGCCACCCACTGTGCATGGCCCCAGGGCCAGCTCCGAATGTAACTAGAGTGCTCAATAAATCTCCCTCTAATGAATGAATGGGTACGTGAATGAATGAATGAATGAATGCGTGAGTGATCAATCCCCAGACTTGAGTAAAAAGGTTGGAGTTATCCTAAGCATTGTGTGTCACTGGGCAGCCCTGTCCTTCCCAGTGTGAACAGCGGGGGTTCCTCGCTTCACATTTACAGCTGAAGGATGCTCTAGGACTAATAAATAAGAAGTATGGAGAGAATTGTTTTAATTCTCTCTGATAAACTTAATTTAAAATTAAATTTTTGTGGTTTTTAGAAACCAAAAGTTTCCCGAGCTTCCAGCAACTGTTTTTAAGTCGATTTATGTATTTTGCATTATGGGCAGTAAATTAGAACTGTCGACTGAGCGCGGTGCTCAGGCTTACTCCTGGTAAATGCGTACATACAGGTGCATTGGCTCTGTCCCTGAAAAAAGATAAATCTGTCAGAAAGTCAGCTCTACCCTTCTCTTTTCAGTTTCGGGACAATCTTTTAAAATAATTGCATAGAAGAAACTATGCAAGTTTTTCTCCCCACCCCCTCTTCCTCCTCCTTTGATGCCTGCAGCTCAGTGATCAAGTTAATACCTCTTATGTGTGTGGGGTAGAAAGTGAGAGTGGGGCGTTTGGCCTAATCTCCAGCGACTGACACTCCATAGGCCTGGAGTTTGAACCCCTTCACGTCAAATGGATTCCGTGCAGCTGAGTGACTTCTCTTTAGATCCGCCTCAGGAGCCGAGCCTGAGTGGAGAGGCGTGTAGTTCAGCAGAATGGAAGAAGTCATGCTTTTGCTGCTCGCAGTACCCGATTTTGTTAAAACTTGCTCAGTGCTGAGGATCTGCTCTGACTGGATGTCACCTGAGGGAATAAAGTCATTTATCTAGATTACTTTTTTCCTCCCTTTCTCTTGACTTTTAATTCCATAGCTACAGGCAAGTCAGTAAGTCGTCCCTCACACATATTAAATATAGTTAATGGGCGAAGACTTGCATGTACTGACTACGGCGAGCTCCAGCCAGTTCCATTTTTTAGAAAGAACTTTGACAATTGATTCATGTGTAATTCTAGTCCCAAAGAGAGAAAATGGTTCTTTTGTTAGCTGTTCACACTTTTTCCTGGTTCTTTGTAGTCTGACCCCCTAACTTTGATACATTTGAAACTTCTGTTCCATATTTTGCTGGGGACAGAAGAGAGGATCTTTTCTTGCAAAGTGGTTGGAGGGGAATTTGATTGCACAGTTGCACACAGTTGCACACAGCAGAGCATTTGTAAACTGCTCCTAGAGGGCAGGGAGTGTCCTCTTGGGAACAGACTTCTGCCCTACAACATGCTTTAAAAGTGAGGTGTTTCTTACAATAAAAATTCGTACTAAGGAATTAAAGATGTTCCTTTGTAATGATAGCTTTCCAAATCACCTCCATCTCCGTCAGGCCAATCTGGCCAATAAGAAAACCATACACTTTAACAAGGTGGAGTAAATTGGATACAAAATGACAATCAAGAGAGAGATTAGTAATAATGACTTGAACTGAGCTCCAGGATCAAAACCCACCATCTTGTCTTTGGTCTGTGACACACTGGCAGCCAGAGGCCAGGTGTCCCAAGAGCCCAACAGCCCTTTCTCCTCTCTTAGGTGAGGCAGCATCTCCACCAATCCCAAAGGCGCCCTGCAACTAAGAAAGCCAGATCACTGAGTATGTGAAACTCATAACTGTATTTTGGTCACTTAATCAACCTCAATTTGGTTTCTTCAAGTTGTATCTTCCTCCTTTAGTAAGCTGTATGGATTAGATAGGATTTGAGCTGCCATGAGTCATAGCACCCTGAACGCGTCCAGACATGTCTGAACTCCCCACCCCACCCCACAAGTGACCATAGGCTAGTGTGTGCTGATGCTTTCCTTGCTGGTATGCTTTTCCTCCTCACACCAAAACAGCCGAGGGAGCACTTGACTGAGGTGCCCATGAGTGACCAGTGGCTTCTCCATACTGGGAAATCACAGTGGCTTCTAAATGAGATAATCTGCTTTGTTGTGCTTCAAAGCTTTGGCCACAGAGCAGTGACACATTTCTGAGTGCCACTGGAAGCATGTGACAAGGCCTCGCCTGGTGGAAAAGAGTGCATTTTTGTGAAAAGTGCCATCGACACATCTCTTTGTTTCTTCTGATGATTTTAGATGGACCCTGAGTATCGGGTGAGGAAATTCTTGGCCCTCTTGAGAGAAGAAGGCGCGTAAGTACACGCCACGCTCAGGAGCATCCACTGCAGGTCCCCATCTGTGAGGTCCCAGGGCTTCCCCCGAGGACTGATGCAGTGCAGTGCACGAGTATGACAGTTTCTCTCCTGTACTACCTTATTTCCAAGTTACTAGCATCTTCTGTGTTGTAGGTCTAAGGACCAAGCGAGGAAGTGGACTGTTCTGTCGGTCCACTCTCCTTGTCTTGCTTCTCAAAGCTTCCTTGTCACGGCACAGGGAAGACTTGGTGGTACACATTTATTGGAACCTGCTTTCAAAATGCATGGAGCTGTGACCATTTTCTTTCAGAGAGTGCCCATCAACTAGCAAATGCATGGTGGAAAATGTAGAGAAAACACGAAGCTTTTAGTGACTTCTTGGTGGATGTTTTTTGTTTGTTTGTTTTGTTTTGTTTTGTTTTTGGCAGAGCTCATGGTTTTGTGTGTTTTGGGATTTCTTTTGCAGTAGCCCCCTGGACTTTGATTGAAAATGGATTGTTTACAGCAGTGACCAAGGGAAGTGACCAAGGTGAAGATGGCCTGGGATCGTCACTCATCGTCCTCAAGACACCAGACTAAGTGAAACATTCACCGCCCTCCCCACACTTGCTCAGCATGACTAGCGCAGTGAACTCCCTCGTGTTTTTGAGACATCCTAGTGTTTCCCGGAAGGTGTTGACTTGCTTTAGACTGCTCTGCTCACCCTCCCGTGCTAGCTCAGGTGATCCCTGCTTATGTGGGAGGCATGCTGCACCTGTGCACATTGCTCCTGCCACACCCACCCCCCAGAAGACACTTGGCCTAGCAGAAGGTAGGCTTCCTGATGTGACCAAGAACAAAGGCACAAGTTCCGAGGGACTCCCTTAGCGTTCCTCTGTGCCAACAGCTGTGTGTCTGGCTAAAAGGTTCTTCCATAGAATGGGCTATTATCTTTGCCTAGAGAAGCAGGCTTTGAATATCCAAGATGCTGTTCTCAATCATATTCAGAGATATTTCCAAGTTGCAATCAGGAGAGCTTTCCTAATCGGAAGTCCGATCATTCCTGTGGTGGCTGTGATATGCCCTGAGTGTAATTAGTTTGCTCTGTGGTAAGAGATATGCTAATCATTACCACTTGGTAGATGCTGTTAAAACCTTATGAAAGATACATATGGAAAGCTGTACATCCCTAAACAGAAAAAAATATTAAAATAATTTACAAGCCTCTCAGCTCTAATTAGTGTCCAACTCTAAGTGGGTCAGCTCCTTGGGATGACGTCAGAGGCTTATTAGTGCCATATTCTTCCTTTTCCTCAGCTGAATGGCTTATAATTTACTCTCCTCTATCTCAAGTGATCTGTAATGTCTAAAGCACATAAGTAAAACACTATTATCCAGCAAAACAAGCCACCTCCTAGTCCTCTCCCTCAGGCCTTGAATATCCATTCCAGTGTACTCAGTTCTTCCAAAACAGGAGGGGCTCACCCAGCCCTTTGGAGGGTGATTTGTCTAATCAGTGGGTTAGAAGAAATTTAATTAGTTCGTCATTCTCGGTGATGAGTCTTAGGGAGCATGCCCCTCTCCCCGCTGCTGCTGAAAATACAAAGACAGTGATCAGAAGTCAGCCAGGAGGCTTGATGCCGCAGGGGCACCTAGGTATGATCCTGACACTGTCCCCACAGTAGAAGGCAAATCATCTCCTAATTTGCTGTCTGTATACTTTGTTTTGGGTTCTCATCCCTGGCTTATTTTGTGGCTTTAAGAGTGAATTGTGTTGTGAAACTGTGATGCCTGTGGCCAGTACTGTGGTCCCTGTCCATCACCATGGTCCCTGTTGTCTGTGGTCCTGACTTTCTCCTCCCAACAAAGCCGTATATGGACTAACTTATGTTTCTTGTTCAATGAAGTTAATGTCTTGTGTTTTTGCCCAAAACTATATTGAAAAAGATAAATATTATATTGTGTAATGCAAATTGAAGGAATGCAATAAAGAGTAAATATACTTGAAATGCTGTGTAGACCAGTATTTTATACCAAACAGTACCGATTACTGATGGAACTATGAAGAAGAGTGGTCTCCGAGGAGAAGCCCCTCCTTTTTTTGTTACAACTAGCACAGGAGACGGATAGTTTTTAAGGGGGCTGGAGAGATGGCTTAGTGATTAAGAGCACTTACTATTCCAGAGGACCCGGTTTAGTTCCCAGAATCCACATGGCAGCTCACAACTGTCTGTAACTCACACATGTGGTACACAGATATATATGCAAGCAGAGCACATAAAATAAGTTTTAGGCCAGGCTGATAGCACACGCCCTTAATCCCAGCACTGGAGAGACAGAGGCGGGCAGATCTCTGTGAGTTCAAGGCCAGCCTGG